TTTTTTGTTTTATTTTCAAATATATATAATTTAGACTATTAGCATTTTATTATAATTTTATTTTTTTATTTTTTTTTTTTTTCTTTATAATTTAAAGAACAATGGTTTTATGTTAAAAAATAATTTTATTTTTTTAGCTTTTTTTTTATATATAATAGTGCAGTTAGAAAAAGTTGTAAAAGTTTTTAAATGTAATTAATGCTATTTAAATAACTTCAAAAAAGAAGAAGATAAAAAAAAAAAAAAATTAATTGATTATATTAATATAGTGAAATTAATTAGAGTAATATAAATAAATTGATAAAAAATAAAAAGATATATTTAAATTTTTTTTTTTTTTTTTTTTTGGAGAAAGTTTAAAATAAAAGGAAATAAATAAAAGGAAATAAATAAAAGGAAACAAATAAAAGGAAATAAATAAAAGGAAATAAATAAAAGGAAACAAATAAAAGGAAATAAATAAATAAATAAAATAAATACATATATATATATTTTATGTATGTAAAATATTTTTTATTTTTAATCAATCAAATTTTTATAAACATTTGACCAAAAAATTAACTTATTATTTATTTTATTAAATAATGTAATCGATAAATCATTAAAAGCAGATATAAATTCATAAAATATTGGGAATTTAATTTCTTTTGAATAGTTGAGAATATAAAATATAAAATGAGCTTCTTTAAAATGATTTTTTAATTTATTTACAATTATTTGATTTATTTTAATATTTAAATGTTTTTCATATTCACATAGCATTTGAAGAATACAAGAAGGTAATCCTAAAGGTTTATACAAATAAATGTGATCTTTATAATAATCAAAACTGTTACCAAGAAAAATAATATTTTCTAAATGAATAAAAAAATGAGCATTTTGGTAAATTAATTTTTCATACATAAAAATATAATATAAAATTTCTCCATATAAATTTATATCACAATGTGGCATAAATAATAAAATTTTTTCATTTTGATTTGTAATTCTGATTGTCTTAATATTTTTATCATAATTATTTTTTTCTTTAAAATTATTATTTTTATCTTCTTCTTCTTCTGTATTTTGATGTTTTATATAATTCTTTTGAAGACAAGTTAATATTTCTATGTTAAATTTATTATAAATATTTTTATCTATTTTTGTAATTTTAGGATCATATATATATATGTTATCAATTTTATATATTTTTTTTAATAATAATATAAAACTCAATTGATAAAAACATGATTTTTTATTATTGGAGTTTATATCAGTTAAAGATCCTAAACCTAAACAAATTACTCCAATGTTAATATTATTTCTATTTATCTCATTAAACTTTTTTTGAAAATTTATAAAAAAAATACTTTTCTCTAAAGATGATATTACTTTTTTTATTTCATTATAGATTCTTTCTATATGTTTTTTATCACTATCTAAATTTTCTTTATAATTTTCTGTATTATAAGTCAAATATTTTTCTTCTTCTTTATTAATATATAATTCTTCTATTTTTTTGTTTTTATTTTTTTTCAATTTATATTTATTTTTAACTAAAACCCAATTTTCCATTTAAAGAAAAAATAAAACAAAAATAAATTACATCTGTATATATAACTACCTTTTTTTTTTTTTTTTCTTTTTTTTCTCTATACTTATTTTTAATTCTTATTTAAAATTTTTTTTTTTTTTTTATAAAGATTCACATTTTTGCTTAACTCAAAAAGAAATCAATTTATTTAAAATACTTCACTTTTATATATTTTATAAAGTAATTTTTTTATAAATTTATAATTATACTTTAATTATATGGTTTTCATTATTTTACAAAATATTCATTTAAAATTTTTTTTTTTTTTTTTTTTTTT